CTAGCACAGACCAGGACACCAGCCTGACAGCTTCGGGCACGATGTGCAAAGGATCGACATGTGTTTGCAAGCAAGTCTGCACACGAGACTGCAGGCATCGTGTTAGTCCCACGGGGCCTTTTCATGGGTGCGGGCAGTTGCTGTAGGGCACAGAGGACTGGAAAAGGGCCCCACCTCAAGCTTCCTTATACAGCGTCAGGAAGTTTGGGGTCCTAGGAACCCCAGGGCTGTGTTCTGCTCTAAGTGACGCTTTGACGGCACGCTGGTCTTGACTAAATGGAGGAAACTGGAACTGGAGGACACCGAGCAATCTCCTCCATTTATCTCTGCCCCGTTTGGATTCGAAACGGAGCTTACTTAGTATGTTCCATCCCCGCCAAACTATTTTTAACTCCAAAACCTAAAAGCCATTAAAAACTGGGCTCATCTGAATGATCTTGACCCATCTAGGAGCGGGCTGGGAGCAACCATGATACCAGTCAATAGTGAGCCATTTCTTTCTTCTTAAAAGCTCATGCCATTAACCCCTGGGAGTACAAAGACACTGGAAAAAAGTGTCCACTCTCCACCATACCCCAGAAATAAAATCTGGCAGTATCTGTTTAATACTAGCAGCTGAAGGGGGGTTGTTGGGGGCTCATCCGCTAAGCTGTCCTGGAATATGAGAGAATATGTGCTAGAATATGTTGTTCTGAGAAACCTACAGTGCTCATATCCAAGAAGAGTCCGTTTTATGTATATCTTTGAAGCTGTAGACATTTAGGTCAGTATTCAGTATCTTAGCCCAATTTACTCTTATTGTGTCGTTCTAACCGTGACTGGCATCGGAAGCCTCCTGAGGGTAAAGACAATAGACTCTGGACTCTGATTGAGTGACCTTAGAAAGGTATGCAGCCTTTCTGAACCTGAGTTTCCTCTTCTGGAAACGATTAGGGTGACTTCACAGAAGGAAGCTGTGGGGAGAAATTAAGCAGTACAGGTCAGCTGTGAGGCACCGGGTGCCAGATAAGCGCTCGGCAGTGTTTGCTGTACCCATTATCATTATTTTGCATGTTTTCTATGTAGGCAAATTTTGCCAGAAGGAAAGCATAATGCATGAAAATTTAGATTGTATGAAAGCCGGATAGGGGAGATTTCTGCGTGAGACAAAGACTGTCCAGTCTGGCCTGGTGGACTCCGAGCCTGTGATACCAGCTGCTTGGGGCGCTGAGCTGAAGATGACAAGTGCGGGGGCCGCCTAGAACCTGGGCACTGCAGGCGACTTTCAGAAGTAGGAAGTGATGTAGCTCGCTCAGTGGTGGAGTGCTTGCTGAGCGTGGATAAACCCCGGGTTCAGTGCCCAGCCCCTATTTCTGTTGATGAGAGAACCGATAACAGGGTTTTTAAAAGCAGTCACCTTCCATGTATGTCTAAAACTATTTGATTCGCACGAAACTGGTTTATACAACGTTTTAGGGATACATGTGCGCCAAGCTCAGGTCATCTATAATACAATCACTCAGGCCAAGTCTGAGCCACTATGACAGGTTAACAATAACCATCCCGAGTATTCCCCAGGGCCTTTTATACGGGGATTATATGGATTCTCTGTGGTTTGAAAGGACAGATTTGTGACTGCTGAGTGGAAGACACGGGGCCGGAAAAACAGCAGGGAGAAGGTAGCTCTTGTGATGGAAAAGTTCTTCCAAACCACTGCTTCCCAAAGTGGAATGGTTTGTGATGGCAGACCCCAGCAGAAGACATTCAAGTAAACGCTAGCTACCAACTTGGGCAGTGGTGGTTTAACTATTGCACATAGTGGGAAGGGAAGTAAGGCAGTTGTTCCCGTTCTTAAGTACATTATGCAAACTGCTTGGATACCAGAAAAGACAGAGGAAAGAGACTGGCTCTTCGGAGGTGGGGTGGGGGTAAAGGGAAAGAATTGGAACAAGCATTGCTTGTCTGGCTGGGAAATGCTGGATTAAATGGCCTCTAAAATGTCTTGTAATTTAAAGATCCTAACTCTCAAATTACTTCATAGATGTTATTTTAACTATATCCCTTGGAGAATTTCCCTATTTTAGTTGTGGAAAATTAGGACCTAACACCCAAAGTGAGTGGTAAAACGTGAGGGAAATAGATGCCCAGACGTTTTTAGACGTTTGATCCCACAGCCTCTTTTCAACTCGTGAAAATGGAAGTTGGAGAAGAAGACAGCCATTGAAGCCAGAATGGGTAAAATCTAGTCACCTTTAGAGTTGAATCCTAGCTGACTGGCTGTGAGCTGTGAGGCCTGAGAGCCTGGTAAAGTGCTTTGGGATTCCGTGACCCAAGACTGAACTTTTGGCACTAACATCTTTTTAAAGGGGTTCTTACAAGATGAGTCTTTGTCCCAGTGAGCCTACTTGTCTTAAAATCCAGTTGATGGTCTGACCTTCAGATCAATAGGCTTGCTTGGCCACACGTGACCAGGCTACTCAGCTGCTTCCATACTCTGGGCCACAAAGCCAGCTTCCCATCTAGTGCGTATCAGTTGCCGGGACAAATCCAGCTCTGGTTCAGAGAGGATAAAAAGTCAGTTAGGGAGGGATGAACCATTTTGTAAAGTAGGTTTTTTTGTAGGTTTATTTCTCCCCCAGCAAAGGAGAATGGATACGAAAAGGGAAGGAAAGAGATTTCCTGGCTGGCCCAGCACCTGATAACTGGCAGATGAGAAATCAGACTGAGAAGGTGACTCAGCCAGGAGACACAGGAAGCCACTTTGTACCAGAGCCAGTCCTTTTAAGAAGGAGAGGAAGAAAAGCATAGGGAATGGGGGCGAAGAGGAAAATATTTTCGTTATATAAACCTTGGTATTGCTCTTTGCCTGCAAGCCTTAGAACATGGCGTGGCCATGAACTGGTGTGGAAGTCAGCTCCACAATGGTCTCTGGTGCTCCCTAACCTACCTGCCCTCTGTGAGCGCATTCCTATCTGACCCCTGATGGGAAGTCAGTGGTGAGGCTGCCCCAGATTCTCTGCTCCAGGTGGAGAAGGCCTCGAGAAGGTGAAGGGATGAGCTAATCTGAGCGCATGGCCCCATTTGCAAGGATGTGATTAGTGGAGAGGCACCTGGGACGTGCTCCATTTCAGGAAACCCGGTTATGGAGACTGGTGGGGGACAGACTTCTCTCAGGACCTGAGAGAAGCAGTTAACCCTTTCTCATTGTCTGTGTGGGAAACAGCCTCTTGTCATAGTTGCTTGTTTCCCAGGGGAGAAAGTCCCCAAATGAACCTGATTTGACAATAGTTTAAATTCCTAAGGTTGACTTCTTTCATGGCATATGAATGACCTGGAAGAACTGGAGACTAAGGTACACCCTAAGAAGTGTCTGGAATATGTATAGAGAACACATTGAAAGGAAAAGGCAGCTTAACAGTCCCTGAAATGTCCCTGTTTGCCTGGCAACATTGCTTATGATGTTCTGGTTCCATTCAAGCCCCCCCCCCATTTTTTGTCTTTTTGGGGCTTCAGAGTCAATCTGGGGCTCTTGGGGTAGGGTTTTAAAACTGGCCAGAAAGGTTTTTGGGTTTTTTTTTGTTTTTTGTTTTGTTTTTGTCTCAGAACAATCAATATCCAAAAAAGACATGAAACGTGAGTTCAGTTTCTGAGTGAGCAGAGGAATGGCAGCACAGCCAGCACGCCACACAGTCTAGACCGCAGTGAGAACGGGTCCCTGGAAACACTTCAAGGAAGCTACCAGAGAGCAAAGGTCAGCTTGAAAATACAGTGATCCACAAGGGCGTCTTGGTCAACCCAGTGAAGTAAGTGACCTTACCTTAGGCAGGCCATTTAATTTCTTTAGGGCTCACACATGTTAATCTATTGAAGGTAAGTGGTCACCTCAGCAATCCCTTCTGACTATAGCATTTGTTGGCCTGAGGAAGGAACCTGAGCAAACATGTTTTCATAATGTGACATCCAACAGCATATTACTTACTAGATCCAAACAGACAGGTTGGAGATGCAGGCTGATGAATAGGAAATGTGAGCAGGGGTTTGTGGGAGAGGAGGGTATCACCACTGTGGTTCACATTTTATGGTAACATCAATAATGACACAGTACAGAACTCCCCGACAACCAGCCAGGCCACGGCCAGGTGGGAGATGGGGAGATGGGGAGAAGTCCAGGGAGGACTTCAGGGATGCTTTCGTCTTAAGGTTCTGACATTTACACACTGAGTGTTATACAACCTCTCCTCAGAGCCTCATTTCCACTGTTTACAATACCTGTTACACAGAAGGATTACTTTTAACAAGGGGAGCTAAAAAGTAGGGTGCGTAGAGCTGGGAGTCGGACTCAGCAAATGTCAAGTCTGATTACAAGAAAAAACACTACCAGCCCTGAAGGTGGATCCTCACAGCAGAGGTGCCCCCCACTTTGCCTAGACCAATGTGAGGGCACTCTCTCCCAGGCAGCTTTGTTAGGTATCTGCCTATACATGGTATAGTGTTGGGTGTTTCCTGTACCTTCATCCCTGAGGCGCATTCCAAGGAGGAGGCTGAGAGCCAAGACAACCACCTCAGCTCAAGTGCTGTGCCATTAGCCATTGTTCCTCACCCTTCATCTCCGCTGGTATCTTCAAGGCGGAGTGCTTCTGCTGAGACGACATTTTCAGTGAGAAATATTCTAAAAGAGATGTAAAAAGGAGGAAAAGACTCCAGTGGCTTCCCAAATGTCGGCTTTTTATTAATTCTGATGATTAAAATGAATACTCCAGCCGGGTGGTGGTGGCGCACGCCTGGAATCCCAGCACTTGGGAGGCAGAGGCAGGCGGATCTCTGTGAGTTCGAGACCAGCCTGGTATACAAGTGCTAGTTCCAGGACAGTCAGGGCTGTTACACGGAGAAACCCTGTCTCGAAAAAACCAAAAAATAAAAACCACCTCTCCAGTTTGCCTAGCTGTGAGCACCCGAGACGGGGAAGGCGGGCAAGAGCTCTAGCACACGGCAGAGGGGGTATGGTTCAGGTCCTAAGGGACATGGTCTTTGAAGTGGCACCAAGGCTGGTACTGGGTGGGCACTCTGCCAACTCCACAGCCTGTTCTGTGCAATCCCCGCTTCTGGAGTGGAAGAATTTCCTCCGGAGGAAAGCGGCCAACGCCCTGTTCCACCCTTCTCCTTGGGTAACTCGTTGCCAAGCAAGAATCTCTGATGCCAGTGTCTTCTTTTGGCAGCCCAAAGAACAATCTGTCAGATTCTCGGGAGCTGTGAGCCTACGTCCATCTCACGAAGCCCGCTCTGCAGCCTATAGGACTTCCTTCCAGCTGGGGACACTCAGAGCTGCTCGTCAGCCAGACGTTTTCTGAAGTCAAACTTGGGGAAGGAAGGGTCTAGTGGGGAGGGGGAAGCTCCCAGAATCTTCCTGGAATAGACTGGGGAGAGGTTTGGAGACAGGTTGGCAGATACAAGCCCCCCAGCTTTCAGCTCTGAATTTCAAAATAATTTCCTTAGTATATATCCCAAATCTTATGGCATGACATACACAATATGGGGTGAAAAGATCGTTCACCTAAAATTCAGACTTAATTAGCCACCAATATATCCTTCTGTTAGATGTGGGAGCAGAGTCTGGTCCCAGGCACCGCCCTCAGAACAGAAGGCGAAGCCGGCTGGGGTCTAGAGCCAGCTTGGGAATCCTGCACCACGCAGCCGCAGCTTTCCAGGGACCGGCCCTGGAAAACGCCGCCGGCGGTCGAAGCGCTTTGAAAAGAGCCGAGGGCCGCGGCTTGGCGAGACCGTGGGAAAGTCTCCTCAGGAGGAGTCATCGCCCGGCCTCTTCCCGGCTCGCCTCCAACCTTGGCAGCCGGGCCACCTGTCCTCCCACCCAGCCGCCTACTGGTGCGGGCGACCTCAGGCAGCCCGCGCAGTGCGCAGGCGCCAGGGCTGGGGGCGGGGCGACCGCGCTGTCGGGCGGGAAGGGAACCGGCCGGCGGCCGCCTGGCGGGGCGCTCACCCGGGTCGAAGGAAGCTGAGGAAGAGGTTTTGAGCAGCCAACAACCCTGAGCGCTGTGGCCGCTCTCCTTACAGAATGGAGAGTATGGGTTTGGCTGTCTGCGAGGTGATGCAGGGAAGGGGAAGAAAGACATTTTTTCCGAGAAGAGGGCATTGTGAGGAGACCTCAAAGTTTGGGCGGCGGGATCTGGCGTTTTCTGAGGTGCAGGAAAAAATACCGTGAATGGCTAGACAATTTTAAATCCCGCTTTCTTTGGGATTTCGGGGGGGGGGCGTGAGGCCTGAGGTATGGAGGTGCTGGACTATCCATCACCCTCGTGGGTCCTTTGTGAGGAACCAGTGTATTCCGGGCTTGCCTTCGTGCGCGCAAACACCACCGTCTAAAGCGAAGGCCCAAGAACTAGGTATGGTGTTTGCCAAACCTGAGCTGATTCTGAGAGGGGAATCGGAAGTCGGCTAACTTGATTCCCAGCGTTTTGTACCCATCTATGTGAGAGGGGGATCGAAAAGGCGGGAAGGATGTGTGCAGCCGTTAAAGGGTGGACCAGGGAGTCAGAGGATAGGCAAGGAGGCACCAAGCCATGTTAAAACGGGAACATGAGGACAAGGTGTGACACGACCCCTCGGCAGCCACCGTGAGGTGCAGATCCTGGACTGAATGACGAAAGGTTGAATCCAAGGGTTCGTGCTAGGTTCTCCATATCAGTGGATTGAGAACTGTTTAGTTCTAAAAGATGGCCCGGTGCCGGCTAGCGGCATGTGTTCACTCCACTGCTGAACTTTGCGGCCATCTCCTGATGGGGCACTTAGCTTCAGACCTAAGGAACGCTGCACAGGTGAACAGGGATAGAATCGCAGGCGCTGAGGTGACTTAGAATATTTGTGGTCCTCGTGACTTCTTTGTCATCGTCAGAGGAAGCTGGGGGATTAGATTTTACAGATGACAGAACCCGAGATAGAACCCAGGGCTCTGACTCACCAGCCAGTATTCTTTTCCCAACTGCTATCTTTATACATAAAGACGCTGGAAAAATCCTAACAGAGGGCGCACAGGAAATCAGAAGATGATGTGAAGGAAGCTGTTAGATTGTAGAAGTGCCTGGAAACTGCCTTCAGAACTCTGGTACAAATCAGGATCTTAGTTCCCAAACTTGCTTACTCACAGCTCTTTGCCTTAAAAAAAAAAAATTGGCTGAGAAATATTAGAGTGCTCATCACCCTCGCAATAGACCTGGAGTTTGATTCACAGCACCCTAGTGGCAATGCTGCCTTCTTACCTCTGTGGGCAGCAAGCATGTGGTATACTTACGTGTGTATACGGACAAAACACTCATACACATAAAACTAAGTCATTTCGGCCTGGCGTGGTGGCACACACCTTTAACCCCAGCATTTGGGAGGCAGAGACAGAAGCAGATGAATCTCAGAGTTCAAGGCCGCCCTGGTCTGCAAAGCACACAGAAAGTTGTGAGGTAGGTGCCTTATGGGTGCTGGGAACTGAACTCTGTTCTTCTGCAGGAACAGCAAGTGCTCTTAATCTTAGAGCCATTTCTCCAGCCCCTCTCCAGCATCTTTCTTTCTTTCTTTCTTTCTTTCTTTCTTTCTTTCTTATTTTAGACAGGGTTTCTCTGTAGCTTTGGAGCCTATCCTGGAACTAGCTCTTGTAGACCAGACTGGCCTTGAACTCACAGAGATCTGCCTACCTCTGCCTCCAGAGTGCTGGGATTAAAGGTGTGTGCCACCACTGCCCAGCTCTTTCTTTTTTTCTTTTTTTTTAATATTTATTTATTTATTATGTATACAGTATTCTGTCTGTGTGTATGCCTGAAGGCCAGAAGAGGGCGCCAGACCTCTTTACAGATGGTTGTGAGCCACCATGTGGTTGCTGGGAATTGAACTCAGGACCTTTGGAAGAGCAGGGAATGCTCTTAACCACTGAGCCATCTCTCCAGCCCCTCTTTCTTTTTTTCTTTTCTTTTCTTTCTTTCTTTTTTTTTTTTTGTTTTTTTGAGACAGGGTTTCTCTGTAGCTTTGGTGCCTGTCCCGGAACTAGCTCTTGTAGACCAGGCTGGCCTCGAACTCCCAGAGATCCGCCTGCCTCTCTGCCTCCTGAGTGCTGGGATTAAAGGTGTGAGCCACCACCGCCCGGCTTCTTTTTTTTTTTTTTTTTAAATCTGAGTCAGGGTTTCTCTGTGTAGCAGCCCTGGCTATCCTGGAAATCACTCTGTAGACCAGGCTGGCCTCTAGCTTACAGAGATCTGCCTGCCTCTGCCTCCCAAGCTGGCTTTCCAACCATTTTTTTGTGTTTAGTTATGATACTATGCCGTGAACAAAAGCAAATCTGACATTTCATAAGCAGGAGTACAGTATTTTATATTAGAGTTTTAACTGTGTCATACAAGTTTGTTAGGACCATGATCTTAAAGATTGCGTTTCATTTGCATCGTATTCTTTTCAGGTTTTGAGGTATTTAATAGTTCACTGGAAGTGTGAAGCAGGACTGCCAAAGGGAGCATCGCTAGAAGGGCAGCTAAAGGTTTCCATAGACGCATTAAGTTCTAAGCAGGCGCCGAGTTCTCTCCGTTGTGCGGTGACTAGTAAGTAGAGGCAGAAATCATTGACAGTTGTTTCGTCGCTACGCATGTCATAGTTCGTGTAAAGTTTCCAATTTGTCACACTCATCTCTAGTGTAGCTATAAAACCAAGATGATTTTAACAAGTATTTGGTAATTAATTTGTAAGTGTTCGATATAGGAAAGATAAAAATTATTCTTATTGTGAGACTCTATAGCTAGGTTAAATAAAAATTGCTCAAAAACAATTTTACTTTTGACCTTGATTTTAAGCTATTCTTTCACAACAAATTTATATCAAGTTTTACGGTTTTGTTTATGTATGGACTTTGGCAGTTGCAAAGAGGCAAAAATAAAGGAAAGGGAAATGAAATGACTAATGGTGTATGCTCTTATCATGACATCCAATTCCATAGCCATTTTGAACATAAAGGACTTCCTCATTATGTCTGGCGTAGATGGCACTGCTTTGTTATTTCTGATCTTCATGTAGTTAGTTTATAGTCTGTCAAGATAAAAAGATAGGGACTGGAGAGATGGATCAACAGTTAAGAGCACTGACTGCTCTTCTAGAGGACCCAGGTTCAATTCCCAGCACCCACATGACAGCTCACAACTGTCTGTAATTCCTGTTCCAGAGCTTCTCACATCCTCAGACATACATGCAGGCAAAACCACCAAAGAATATAAAATAAAAAAATAAATTTAAAAAATGGCTGGGCGGTGGTGGCCCATGCCTTTAATCCTAGCACTCAGGAGACAGAGGCGGGTAGATCTCTGTGAGTTCGAGGTCAGCTAGGTCTACAGAATGAGTTCCAGGATAGCCAGGGCTACACAGAGAAACCCTGTCTCAAAGAATGAAATACAAAACAAACAAGAACACTGATATACAATTGACATAGTGTATCATTGCAGAAGCAAGGATGGAGCATGACATTTTCTAGTTATCTAACCCCTGAAATAATTATTAGCCTTCAGTGTATATTCTAGACTTTTCTGTGTATGTGTGCACAGTTACTGAATTTCTTAACAAATGAAATTAGTGTATGTTAGTGCCAGTGCCTTTTAATAAAAGTGGGCAGCGTTTTGTGTTAATACATGGAGATCTACTTCATTAATTTTTGGAAACTTCCTTTGTCTTAAGTTTTATAAGTTATACAGACACACAATTTTAGTAGTAGGATAGATTGAGCCAGGCATGGTGGATGACAACAACTGGGAGGCTGAGGCAGGAGGGTTGCTGTGAATTTGAGTGTAGCCTGGTATATATAATGAGTCCCAAGTCAGCCTAGGCTGAGGGTGCAGATATCCAGAACTTATGTAGATGCTGGATGGGTGTGGTGAAATGCTTATAATTTGAGCCTTAAAAGGCACAGACGAGGGATGCCAGGAGCAAACTGGTTAGTGAGACTAGCCATATATGAGCTCAAGGTTCTAAAGACCCTACCTCGTAGAATATGGAAGAGCAATTGAAGATTCCTATCAGTCTTGGTCCTTCACATGCATGCTCACACATACAAACACTCAAGTACCACATACACATGAAAAGAAGTTTGGGGTGGGGGGAAACCAGCGGTGGTGGTGCACGCCTTTTATCCCAGCACTTGGGTGGCAGAGGCAGGCAGATCTCTGTGAGTTCAAGGCTAGCCTGATCTACAGAGTGAGTTCCAGGACAGGCTCCAAAGCTACAGAGAAATCTATCTCAAAAAAAAAAATCAAAAAGAAGTGGGGCGTGGGGGGTGCGAGGGGAAGAAGGGGAAAAATAAGGTAAAGAAATAATGAAGGAAGAAACACAATATCAGCTTCTAGCCTTCAAATGAATGCATGCACACAACTTTCACATACACCCAGACGGTATACACACACACACACCAAGAGAGCTATGAGATAGCCCAACCCCCTGACTTTTTTCTCCTAAATGCTAACACTTTTGGCCACATTAACTGATTATTTTAATATTACCTGTTTCTAAACATATTTGTATTAGAATATCTTTTTCATTTAAAAAGATTTATTTTTATTATTTTGATTTTTTTTTTTCAAGACAGGGCCTCCTGAGTGCTGAGATTAAAGGCGTGTGTCACTACCGCCCAGCCCTTTTAGGTTTATTTTCAATTGTATATGTGTTTCTGTGTATGTCTGTGCATGTGAATACCATTGACCAAGGAGGCTAGAGGTGTTTGATCCCTCTGGACCTGGAATTATAGAAGTTGTGAGCTGCCCATTGGGGAACTGAACCCTAGTTCTTTTTAAGAGAACTAATTGCTGTCAGTTGCCAAGCCATCTCTCTAGCCCCTTTAAAAAATTTAAAGGCATTGTTACTACTGACTTTTAAAGAAAGAGTCTCGTGTGACCCAGGTTGGCCTTTGACTCAACGTGTAGGCAAGGATGACTCCTCTACTTCCAGAGGAATGCTAGAATTACAGGTGTGTGCTACCACACCCTGCTTATGTGCAGCTGGTGATCCATACTAGGCAGGCACTCTGCTAACCGAGGTACAACTCCAATCTCTTGGTTTGGTTTTCTGAGTTAGGGTCTCACCGTAGGCCATGGCCTGGCACTCATAGAAGTCCTCTTGCCTTAGCCTCCGAGTGGTAGGATTACAGTATAAGCCACCATGACGGCCTCTAACCGGCTCTAGTTTTGATACCTTCTGTTTTTAGTATATAGAGCTATTTGTTTTGGGGGTTTCTCTGAGTGTCTCTTGCTTCTGAATCTCAATACCTTTATTTCTTGGCTTACTCACTGTTTTGGTGGCTCTTAGACTAGTTGCTCCCTGACAAAGCATGTTGGGAAGATAAATTTCTTGAGATGTCGTATTTCTGAGAATGTCTTCACTCCACACCTGATTGGTAGTTTGTCAGAGAATGGGATTCTAAGTCAGAATTAATCTCTCTTCAGAATTTCAATGACGTTGCAATGTTGCTTCATAACTCTACTGTTGATACTAAAAATTCTGGTCTTTATGATTATTCTGTATATGACCTATTTTTCTTTTTCTCCATGTAAGCTTATATAATATTTTCTTTATCTTTGTATTATTATATTTAATAGATACATTTTGAAATTTCAGTGATTTAACATATGGGATGTTTGTTTTTACTTTATTTTACCACCAGATGAGTATAGATGTACAGGGGTTTATTTGCTTTAAAGTAGAATCCATGGGCTGGCGAGATGGCTCAGTGGTTAAGAGCACTGGCTGCTCTTCCAGAGGACTTGGGTTCAATTCCCAGCACCCACATGGCAGCTCGCAGCTGTCTGTAACTCCAGTTCCAGAGAACCTGACATCATTATACCAATGCACATGAAATAAAGTTTAAAAAGTTTTTTTTAAAAAAATAAAGCAGAATCCACAATATTTCAGCCTTGTGGCTTCTAATATCTATCCCTTCAGCTAAGGATGGAGAAAGGGAACAAGGTTTATAACTCAAATGTTTTTAAGACAAGCCTTGGAAATGACATGAATTCTGTTCCCATACTTTTGACCTGGACTTAGTTTTGTCATAACTGCTCTGCACTTTCAAAGGAGCCTATAAAATGTGTCCAATTGTGCTCAGTGAGAAGAGAGTGATCTGCAGTTGCTGATCTTTGTTCTGAAAATTCACAGTACTGCACCTGCTGTGGGGTCAGTTTTCCTTCATCGCGCCCTGTGCTCTGCCTTTTCCATGTAACTCATGTCCTTTGGATGTGGGATTTGTTTGTTTGTTTGTTTGTTTGGGACAGGGTTTCTCTGTAGCTTTGGAGCCTGTCCTGGAACTAGCTCTTGTAGACCAGCCTGGCCTCAGTCTCACAGAGATCTGTAGGTAGAGTCTGTTCATTCATTCCCGGCCACTTAGACCTACAATAATCACACAGAAACTGTATTATTTGCAATGTTTGGCCAATAGTTTAAGAGTATTTCTAGCTAGCTCTTATATCCTAAACTAACCTATCTCCATTAATCTGTGCATCACCAAAAGGTCAAAGTTTTAGCGGGCTCCAGTGGAGGTGTCTGTCTCCTGTGGTGGCTACATGGCTTCTCCCTGACTCTGCCTACTTTCTCTCTACACACACACACACACACACACACACACACACACACACACACACCTTCCAGCCTGGCTATATTCTGTTAAGTCATCTGCTAAAAGCAGTTTCTTTATTAATCAATAAAAGCAACACATATACAGAAGGACTTCCCACACCATTTCCCCTTTTCTGTTTAAATAAAAAGGAAGGTTTTAACTTTAACATAGTAAAATTACATGTAACAAAACTTGTATCAAGCAAGAATTACAGCTACAATATTTATATCTACTTTACCTTTTATCATAACTAAGGAAAACTATAATAATAGCTATCTATTCTTCAACTCCATCAAAGACTCCAGAAGGATATAATATTACCTAAGTAAACAGGAAGTACATTGTAAACAACTTCTAAAATTCTAGAATTGACAGAGACATCTCACTGCCTGGACAGTCACCAAAAGTTGTTCTGTACTATTGAGGCATCCATCTTCAGCCTACTGACCTATTGTAGCCGGCAGACTTTTCCATGAATCAGGAAATTTCAAAGACAGTTCCACCTATATTGGCAGTTTGTCAGTCACTTTCTTCTGTGTCCTGCAGAATGTCTGGCAGACTCTTTCATGAAGCAGGAACCCCAAAGAACTGTCTCACCTTCTTTAGGCAACTTCAGCAATCATTTTTCTGTGGGTCCTGTAAGTTCAGTTAAGTAGTTCAGGCAAGAGCAATTTCTTGCCCAAATGGCTAGCAAACTCCATGAGGAGCCTCTTTGATGCCCTTCATCCTTTTGAAGTAGATTGGTGCTGCCAGAAGCAGATGTGTCTCAGTGTCATGAAAAGTCCTAAGTTCTTAAAACATTTTAAATGCCATATTATGTAGTCTTTGAAAGATCTGAAGAATATCTATCCATCTGAAATACATCTCTGTACATCTAGAAAACCTAGCTAACATGACTACAAGCTTGACTATTATAGATGACTCTCTATTAACCTATATTTATTAATTATACATTACATTTTAAAATGAGCTTCGCAAACACAATACCTTAATCAAAAGCAGTGTGTGTGTGTGTATATATATATATATAAAACAAAATTAATCTTAAATTTGTATCAATAAACCAAGATTCATACCAATACAAATCTCTATAGTATATCTCCATTTAAATGTAAACTTTAAACATTTATAAACAATATTTTGGAATTTGGGTGTAGTTCTCTCCAAGTTTGGAGAAAGTTTGGAGAGAACTTTCTGCTTTTCTTGGGTGAAGTAATTTTGAGGGGTATTCACGGCAACCTTTCAGGGGCTCTTGGTCCATCAAATCACATTAGTCTGGAAGGAATCCACAGGTTCTCATCCTCTGTGGAAACAAAAGAAGAACCCCTTTTCCAAAGCAACAAATCCTTAGACCCAAATTTTGAAGTCAAGATACCTTTAAAATATATCTTGATTTAGCTTTTAGCAGCCCATACAATGAAATGTCTCTCTGTACTTAACTCATTCACAGTAAAAAAAAATTCAAAGAAAACACAATAATATACATAATCCAGACTCTCTGTATGTTTTCCATCTTTATGTGGCTTATTTGCCTTACTCTATTACTTTTTTAAAAGTTTAATATTTATTTTATTATCTTTATTCCTTTAATCTATGACTGACTGTACTCTTTTTTTTTTTTTTTTTTTTTTTTTTTTTTTTTTGTTTTTCGAGACAGGGTTTCTCTGTGGTTTTGGAGCCTGTCCTGGAACTAGCTCTTGTAGACCAGGCTGGTCTCGAACTCACAGAGATCCACCTGCCTCTGCCTCCCGAGTGCTGGGATTAAAGGCGTGCGCCACCACCGCCCGGCTTGTACTCTTTTATATTATAAGTGTCTATACTTTTTTCCCTCTCTCTCTCTTAAGCCTATGTACATTTATCCAATATATCCAAAAGAAGTCTTTTTGATCTGAATTTGTCTTTATTGCAGTCTGCAATAATTTTCTGACCAGGAGCACTTTTAAAATTGTAAGCAGCTTGGTCACAGTGGCCCTGGATGCTAGCTCCACCTCTCTCAGGCTTTCAATATGGTGGAGGTAGTTCACCATCTGATCTGGGACTGCTGAGTGGGAGCCGTCCTCACCACCTCAGCTCTGGGCATGCAGCACATAAACTCTTTTATCTGAGTAAAAGCTGAATCTGCCATACAGTGCACTGCGCGGCTTGGAAATAGCCCTGTGTATGGTGGCTGGAATGCACCATCCTGATCCAGCCAATAGCTTAAGTGTATTTCTAGCTAGCTCTTATATCTAAACTAACCCATCTCTATTACTCTGTGCATCACCACAAGGTCTTGGCCGACCAGCAAAGTTTCAGCGGGCTCCTGTGGAGGCGCCTGTTTCCTGTGGTGGCTACATGGCTTCTCCCTGACTCTGCCTACTCTCTCTCTATATATCTCTTCCAGCCTGGCTATATTCTGTTAAGTCATTGGCCAAAAGCAGCTCCTTTATTAGCAAATAAAAGCAATACATATATAGAGGGACTTCCCACACCAGAGCTCTGCTTGCTTCTGCCTCCCAGTTGCTGAGATTAAAGGTGTGTGCCACCATCGCCCAGTGGGAAAATTTTTTTTAATGTTTTATCTATTTTAATTTTATGTGTGTTAGTGTTTTGCCTATATGTGTATCTATGTGAGAGTGTTGGGTACCTTGGTGTTGGAGGTACATACAGTTTTGAGTTGCCATGTGAGTGCTGGGAATTGAACCCAAGTCCTCTGGAAGAGCAACCAGTGCTCTTAACCACTGAGCCCCCAGATGTGGGAAATTTTGTTGGTGGTTATTCTACAGCAGTTTCCATTATTTAGATAGTGGATTTATGAAACTTTTTTCTAAAATTTTCTCCCTGATTTTCATATTTTTGAGGTAATTTCCTTCAGTTTTTCATCTTTTTTGCCATTTAGGTAAAATTATGGGGGCTGAAGAGATCGTTCAGTGGTTAAGAGCACTGGCTGCTCTTCCAGAGGTCCTGAGTTAAATTCCCAACAACCACATGGTGGCTCACAACCATCTGTAATGAGATCTGGTGTCCTCCTCTGGCATGCAGGCATACAGGGAGGCAGAATGTTGTATACATAATACATAAATAAATCTTTTTTTTAAAAAAAGATAAAGTTATGAAGTTTAATAACAAACACAGGCAATGACTTTATCAGGAGGCACCAAATGCTGCTGTCACTCACCGGAGGCCAGCCTGCCTTTGCCGTCGCTTAAGGAGGCAGAAACAGCACTGTTGGATGCTCTTTTCTTTTGTTTTCCTCTATAGCTTTGGCTGGCCTCGAACTCACAGAGATCCTCCCACCTCTGCCTCCCGAGTGCTGGGATTAAAGGACTGTACCACCACTGCCCGGCTTTCTTTCTTTTTTTCCTTTTGGCTCATGGTCTCCTGTGGCCCACTCTGGCCTCAAATTCAAGGCCAACTTTGAACTCCTGATCCTCCTTCCTCCGACTCCTGTGTCTTAGGGTGACAGATGGTGCCACCATCTATCCAGTTTATGGGCTCAATCCTTGTCTGTGCAAGCACTCTTATAACTGAGCCCCAGTGCTCGCTTTTTTGAGATATGACTTACTGTGTAGCTCAGGCTGGTCTCAGACTTGTGATAATTCTCCTGCCTCAGCCTCCCCAGGGCTGACATAATGCATGTGTGCTACCACACCTGGTGTCCTTTGCTAATTTCTTCTGTGAATACCACTCAATGTGGATGTCTCCATGGCAACAGAAGTGCTCCTGACCCAGGAGGAGGCTGTCCTTGTCAGGGTCCATCCCATCACTGCCAATGATAATCATCTCTAAAGCACTGGAGAAAGTAGACTTCAGTGTTACATGTTGACAGTTGACAATCATGTCTCTTTTCCTTTGGGTCCTTCTCAGCATGCCCCGAGATGGGGGGGGGGCAGCTCAGGCTGTTGGGTTCAGCGTCTTTCCCCACTTTCCATTTTGTAAAGCCTCTCCCAGCGACAGATACCTCGGACTGCACAGTCCAGTTTCTTTCACAGGGACTCACCTGCCATACCAGCTCACAGGATATAGTGCACCCAGATCGGCTCCATGGCTACATCCAGTTATTCTTCCAACTCTTTGTTGAGGAAACCTCATTTTGTTTAATATCAGTGTCATTATATCTTTGCTCTTAGAATGGTCGGATCCTCTATCTTGATGGGCAAAAGCCTAGCAGCTAACATTCAGAAGCAAGGGAATGAGGAGTGTTAGCTATTTCAGTGCTCCGTGTTTAGATTCACTAAGCCCACTCTTTAAACGACGACTTTGGTTTTTCCATCACAGAGGTTCACACTTCAGCGCACTCAGAACAGCTTCTCCCTGCATCGGCGTTAGGGAGGGCCAGCCTCTAGGATGCTGAAAAGACGCGGTAAAGTTCTAATTAAATTCAGTTTAAAAAGAGGACAAAGAACTTCGGCTCTTTGAAATCTAGGTATCTGGGTACAAATAATTCTTAGCCAATTGACTGGCAAAATATCTTCTATTTCAGAGTAAAATTGGTTCAAAAGGGCCAATATTTTAATTGACTCTTACACTCAAAGTTAGTTGCTGGCACCATGCTCTCTGATCAATAGCTGCAGTTTAGAGTTTCCCACAATCCTGTTCTTTCAAGTATAGCAGCATCTAGAGGAACAGTCCTGGCGTTGATTATAGATGCTAAATTTAGGTGAAAAGAATTGCCACTGGTTGTCATCAACCCCCACGTATGCATTGTGCCTTTTAGTACCATTTTTGCCCTCTTTTGTGCTGAACTCATTACTAAGGGCTCCTTTTAATGTACCATATCTAAAGGCAGTATTTTCAGGGTCCCATTGATTTTTTTTTAAAGTCAAATATACTTAATTGTTTTTACATTTTTTGTATTTTTTTCTTACAGTTGCTTCTACAGGAAGTGTTTATGGTGGCTTGGTCTTCAAGAAGTTTCTACGAGGTAAACAATTACTTAACTTCCAGGAGACTAAATCTCTTTTTGTTAATAAGTTTGTTGTTTTCTAAAGTACATTTATTCTGAAAGATATAATTCCTTGGTTTAGTGAAAAAAAAATATAGGATACCCACTCAAATTACACTTTGAGATAAACACTAGATGCTTTTAAAGATGAATTTTAGCCAGGCAGTGATGGAGCACGCCTTTAATCCCAACACTTGGGAGGCAGAAGCAGGTGGATCTCTGTGAGCTTGAGACCAGCCTGGTCAACAGAGTGAATTCCAGGACAGGCTCCAAAGCCTGACTCAAAAAAATACAAAAATATAAAAAACTTAAAAGATGTATTTTATTTTTCAATTATGTATATGTTTCCGTGTGTATGCCACATGTGTGTGGGTGCCTGCAGGGTTTACAGAGGAAGTCAGATCTCCTGATTCTAGTGGTTGTGAGCTGCCCAACAGGGGTGCCAAGAACTGAACTCAGGCCCTCTGGAAGAAGAGTATGTGTTGTTAACCCTGAGCCACCTCTCCAGCCTCAGACCCTCATTTTTCAGTATAAGTGTGTCTCATGTAACGCTTTATCCTACATTTTATCTGGCAGTTCCACTGCAACAATGAAGCTAAGTAGATGCAGGAATGGACATGGCATCCAGGTAATTCTAGCTTTTCTGACTATTCTCTGTACAACTCAGGCAGAAGTTTCCCAGATAAAGAAGATTTGTTCCTATGTAGTTCAGAAATGGACCATAAATGGTTCCCCTTGTAGTAATATAGTAATACTGTTCTCTATATTATATGTCAAAAATATGTTAACATTAGTATGGTTTAGGAACTTAAAATTGTTTATTTATTTCAAGACAGGGTTTCTCTGTGTAGAATTGGTTGTCCTGGAACTCGCTTTGTAGACCAGGCTGGCCTTGAACTCAGGGATCCATCCACTTCTAACTCCTGGGTGGTGGTGGCATTAAGGCATGCTCTAATACCACCCGACTCAGAACTCATTTTTTTTTTTTCGAGACAGGGTTTCATTGTTTAGCTCTAGCTGTCCTGGAACTTGTTTTGTAGACCAAGCTAGTCTTGAACTCACAGAGATTCACCTGCCTCTGCCTTCCAAGTGCTGGGCTTACAGGAGAAGCATAAATTTTTTAAAACTTTATTTATTGTACATGTGTGTGCTCGTGTGTGTGTGTGTGTGTGTGTGTGTGTGTGTGTGTGTACTAGAGAATAGCTTGTTGGAGTTGTTCCTTTCACTATGTGGGTTCTGGGACTTGAACTCAGATTGTCAGGCTTGGTGGCAAGAGCAATCTTGCAGTTTAGGAACTTTTGAAGATTGTAGGTTTAATAATTTCATCATCTTTTCTTTGACTTAGAAAGAGTCTGCATTTACTTTAAAGAGACCAAAATGGTCAGAGAACTATTGTGCTTCCATTTTTTATCTTCTGTGCTTGTGTGGTTTTGAAATATCTAGCCAGTGAATGTGTTCCCCTCTTAATTGTTAAAATGTAAATTTTACCAAGTTTAGGTTTCATAGGGGATGGAACCCAGGACCCCACACATGTTAGGCAGAAGCCTTACCTACCTCCAAACTATAGCCCTAGTTCCCCAAGCGATTGCTATTACTTTTTGTGGTGTTTGGGATGGAACCCAGGATTTTGCATATTCTTTGGTAAGGCAAGTGCCTTACCACTGAGGAGCATCACCATCTCTTGCTGTTTGTTTGTTTTCGTCTGTAATAACATAGAACATTTTATCAGTTTTATTATAATTTTTTATTAGAATTAAGGTATGGTTTAAGAATTTTACTTTTTGAGACTGAAAAGATGGCTCATCACTTAAGAGCACTGGCTGCTCTTACAGAGGACTGAGGTTCAGTTCCTAGCACCCACAATACAGCTCACAATGCCTATAACTTCCATCCTAGGGATCTGACTCCCTCTTCTGGCCTCTGTGAGAACCAGGCATGATTGTGTTGCATATACATATATGCAAACAAAATACTCATTAAAATTAAAAAAATTATTTAAATTTAAAAATTAAAAATGAACAAATTTTAACAAAAGAATTTTACTTTTAAAACTCTAATTATGTGTGCTCTGCAGGTATTTGTAACTAGACACATATATTTTATTCTGCCAGTTATATTTTGATAATTTGAACGCGGGCTGGAGCGACATTAATCATCATAATGTTATTATTTACATTTCAAATTTAATTTAAATGAGTTTTTATTTAAAGTTTTTGTAGGAACTTATCTGTAACTTTATAAAAAAATATCTAGATCTTTTTGTGGTTTTTAGCAGTTATTTACTAGTATGTTTTTAAGCATCTAATTTTGCCTTTCTTCTCCTTCATAACAACATTATTGATATTTGAGTTTCTAGTACCTACAGTGCATACGCTTTGGGAACAACTAACTGTTGGGTGATATTTTATTCTTTTGGCTTCTTGGGGGCTCCACCACCCAGCTCCCAAATAAATTACATAAAGAGGCTTATTCTTAGTTATGAATGCCTGACCTTAGCTTGGCTTGTTTCTTGCCAGCTTTTCTTAAATTATCCTGACTACCTTTTGCCTCTGGGCTTTTATCTTTTTCTATTTCTGTATACCTGTTTTTACTTCTTTCTCTGTGACAGACTGGGTGGCTGGCCCCAGATGTCTTCCTCTCCTTGTTCTCTTGCTCTTCTTCTTCCTCATTTTTTCTTCTGTTCACACTCTCTGCCTGCAGCCCAGCCTGTCCTTGCTCCTGTCTCACTATTGACTGTTCAGCTCTTTATTAGACCATCAGGTGTTTTAGACAGGCAAAGAATCACAGCTTCACAGAGTTAAACAAATGCAGCATAAACAAAAGCAATATGCCTTAAAATAATATTCCTTCAAAAAGACCACACCCATGGAGGCAGATTATGCTTGGGGAAGCAGCACATCCCACTTTTCCCAGCATGCCTGCCTATAGCTCAAAGTTGCATAGTAGCTAAACCTGGATAAACTGCTTTTAGAACTAGAGCATTTTCCCTAGAAGCAAGCCTTCTGTTTACACAGCCCAAGTCCTAATGTTTAAAGAGACAATAAGGATAAAACTGTTTTTGTTATGTTAATATGATATCATATTTTTATTGAGACATAGTCTTTTAACTCTTTAACAGACAGTCTGTGAAAGTTTGAGTAGAATGTTCTTTCTTTAGTGATTATCACAGTGGTTATTCTAGTGAACATTTATTATACTTTAGGCCTGTGCTCATTACAGAGGAGGGGTTTTTGTTTGTTTTTTGCTTGTGTGTTTGTTTTTGATTTCTTGAAACAGTCTCTATTAAGTAGCCTTGGCTGGTCCTTGGAACTTGCTAGGTAGACAAAGCTGACTTTGAACTCACAGAAATCCATCTGCCTCTGCCTCCTGAATCCCAGGATTAAAGGCATGTGTCTGGCCCACATACTTATATTTCTTCATTGTTGTTTTCGAGAAACGCTGCCCAATTTATGAGGTGCTGGGATGGGACCTATGGTCTCTTGCATGCTAAACAATCACAATTTCAACTGAGCTATATCCCCTGCTCAGTTCATACTTAGATTTTAGTCACTCTGCTCTACTGCCTCCTAAGCTATCTTGGAAGAAAGGAGGCATCAATTTCCTGGCCATAAGAGTTGCTCTGATTCCAAGACTTTTGGGAGCTCTGAATCCAAATTCAAAAGTCATGGACATGTTGGTACATGCCTGTGGTCACAGCACTTGAGAAATGGAGACCGGAGAATCAGAAGTTTAAAGATATCCTTGACTACCTAGTGAATTCAAGAGCAACCTGGATTATGTGAAACCCTGTCTCAAAAACCCAATTCTCAAAAAAAAACAAAAAAAAATTAAAAAAAAAACCCAATTCTCCCCTCTAAAAAAGAGTCATGGATCAGTTGCCTCAAAATCATCTCTATTATTGTTAGTTGCTCTTCCTCTTGGGATTGTTTCCATGGGATGATACAAAAAATGGAAAGATCATTCCTAATGCCACTGCTGCAGTTGAAATGTTTGAAAGTGCTTTGAAAGAAGTAATTCTATATAGACAGAGGAAATATGTTATGAGCAGTGGCAAGGTAATAGGATTTTCTATTATATTAACTAATATTTAATATGTGTGTGCAAGGAGTGGTCAGATTATAGGTAAAGCTGCTTCAATTAATATTTGTGAAAGTGCTTTGAAAAATGAAAACCCATAACAACAAGGAGTCAGTTTATTGCATTGTAACTAGTAGGGAGGAAGCATCAAGTATCATTTATAGAAATCACATTTTCTATACTAATACAAAATTTAGATAGTGTCATAGTGATTTAGATTTAACTTTTAATTTTTAAAACTCAAATAGTTTTGTTTAATATATTTTATATGAATGTGATAAAGAGTGAGTAGCTCTTTGTACAAATATGAAATATTATGGATCAAGTATACAGCAAAAATTGAGTCATTTGTTCAATGTCAGTCATATTTAGTAGCCAACTTCAGCTTAATCCTTCAGTTGTTAGGGCTCATAATACTAACCTCCACTCCATAATGCTATTTATTCATACTAATTAGTAGCATAAATTGCTCAGTGAAGCTCACAAAGGAAATTGGCCAAGACTAGGACTCAAATCCCTTAGCTCCTTGGCTTATGTGTCATTAATTATGCCTTTATTACTATTATTATTTATTTAACATTCCTGTAACACTGTTAGCAAACTGCTTAAATTGGTTCACTGTCTTTACACTGTTTAATTAGCTTCATCAGGGAGTTTCTGGCAGCTGATTTATTAATCATCAGGGTCCAGATGCTAAAGAGTTGTATATCTTTCAAAATGAGTAGCATACCTCTGAATTCAGTGTGAGCACACTGTCACCTTCATCCTTTGCTTGATCTCGCCGGTGCCTGAATGAGGTGCCACTCTTCTCTCAGGGAGCTGAACTGCCGGAATAATCTAACTTCCGTTGCCTTCACTTCTTTGCCTTCTTCCTTCTGGGCATTCCAGGTCATTTTCTACAA